GCGAAACTTTTCACTTTTCGCTGATTATCGACACCGTTGCTTTGACGATCCTTGCATCAATATGCTACGTAATTTGGAGGAAGATTACTACAACTATCTACTTTCCCAGGCTCAATCGCTCAATCAAACAAGATCAGCCAAACGCCCTCTTCAAAGATCTACGTCAGGAACTACCTCATCAGCGGGACGCAGATGTTTAAAGGGGGGGTAGTTAATACGGGGGCTAACACACATACCTGTGTGAATGTGCTGACGCCGCACTTCCCCAAACACGCGCATAACCAGTGCGGGTAATTGAACTCTCATGCAAAAATAATCGAACATACGTTAGCATAATTGAATCTATGGGAAGCGCAGCGTCAGCAGTTAATTCAGCCGGTTAGACAGTAAGTCATAGTATTAAGAAATATGTTGCATTCATTCCATTTGGGACAGCAGAAGCAGATGGTAAATATACTTGTACAAAACTAATTATTGTCTTTTATTTTAGGAAGGACAACTCGGGGCCGCCGTGCGGCCCCCAACTTTAACTTTTTCGGGCTCACGGATGTGAGCTCGATGACTTGCATGACATGAAGAAAGAAAAATTGCGTAAATTAAAGCTGCACAATATTGAAATGGAGGCCCTTAAAAGAAGGGAGCTTGATTTGCAGGAAAAATTACTGCGGATATAAGAAAGAAGCCAGCAAAAATAAATAAATTTTTTTTTTAAGATTTTTTTAATTTTGATTTTAATTTAATTTTGCATTGAACTACTGATTTTTTAATTTTTTTTATTTAAAGATAATTGGATTTAAGACTATTAGATTTAAGAATATAACTGAACTAAAGAAGTGAACTAACGTTTGTGATATTTGTATATATGTACAAACTATTAGATTTAAGAAAACAAATCATTCATTTTGTATATTTAGTTTTAAGTAAAGAACTGAATTTATTTAAAATTTTTTTTATATCAAATAAATATGAAGTAAAAAGTTATTGTATTGTTTTCACTAGTTAGGTAATGATCTCAAAATTCGCATTCTTATGTCTGACGCTTCTCTGGAAAATTCTGATGGCGCTTCCTCTTCATTAACATCTTCATATTAATCATCCATAATATCAGGTGTATTATCTTCCACGTTGTAGTGGATGCACATGGTATGCAATGTGCATACCACATTAATTATTTGTACCACTTTTTGGGGCGAATAATGTAGTTGGCGAGCACTTAGCAGGCATCGAAATCTATTTTTCAAAACGCCGATGACTCTCTCGAATATGTTGCGCGCTTTACTGTGCGTTTTGTTGAAGGCGAGAACGAAATGGTGTAATTAACCACGGCTGTAATGGATATCCAGCATCACCTGCTAAACAAAATATTTTTAGTTATATTTAACACATTTTGCTCTCATTCCACTTATAACATACCTAATATCCAAGTTGTTTTGTCTCCTCGCCGATATCTCTCTTCAAAATAGGTTTTTGCAGCGCTTACATTCCACACATGTGAGTCGTGGCTACTGCCTGGAAACCGAGCATCAACACACCTTATTTGCATCTTGTTATCGCAAATCTATTTAATACATTTACGATAAATTGCACGTACCAAATCACTTTGCTCTTGTGGTTTTACTTACCACCATTGCATTTAGGCTGTAGTATCCCTTACGATTGTAGTACAAATACGGTTCGTCTGCAGGAGGAAGTATTTTAATGTGCGTGCCGTCCACACACATAATAACGCCAGGCAATTGCGTTCTCCTGTAAAACCACATTTTGGCTCGTTTATTCTCCTCCTCCGTCATTGACAATTTAATCCATACTGGGCACAGTCGGCGCTCCAAGATGTTTAAAGTTTTTGTCAATGTTTTTGAGAACGTGGATTGCGCCAACCCCACATCAAAATCTTTCCCAAAACCGTGTTGGTAGCTTAATAATAATAATAGATTGGCGCTTACACACATGTTAGTGTTTGGCCGAGCTTCTCCTCCGATTTGTGGCGTGCGCCTTGAAGTTGTCACACAAATCGGAGGGACCTACAGTTCTACGCCGACTCCGAACGGCGATTGTATTTTTATGAGAAGCTGTTTTTCATGGCAGAAATACACTCGGAGGTTTGCCATTGCCTGCCAAGGGACGACCGCTGTTAAGAAAAAACCTTTTTCTATATTTTTTTGCGATGTTGCTTTGACCAGGGCTTGAACCCAGGCGTTGCGGAGTGGAAGCGCGCACTGCTTACCACTACACCACAGCGGCCAACGTGTTGGTAGCTTCCTACAGCGAAAAACCTCAAAACTGCCATCAATCTACTTATAGGAGTCACCGATGATGATTTTACACTTCGCCCAAGCTCTTCCTCGATAATTGTTAAAACGCTTTTAAATGCGTCTTTGTTGAGGCGGAAATTTTTTACAAATCTTTAAACATTTAAACGATTAATTTATGTGTGTATCAGTGAAATCAATTATAAAACTTACATTTTATCATTTAAGCTAAATGGATCAGAACTGTCTCGTAGCAATCTCCTTTGTATATTAATGCAACAGTTGACTGCAGCATGTTCTTCCTCCTGAGACAAAAGTGCACCGGCCACTGAATCCATTCTATTTTACTTAATTAAGGAAAAGCTTTTTCAAATACGATTAAACAATTTTTTTAATTTCACTGTTCACTTGCGATTCTTTTTATTTTGATTTGTTTCTGCCAAAGCAGCTGATTAAGAACTTCGAATTTCACTATTTTAGTTGGCAACGCCGTTGATAGTTACGATCGGATTACAGCATACCAATTTTCGAATTATAGGAACGGAGCTACGAGTTCGTAACTACGACCTTTCGGATTACAGCATAGGGGTGAAAATCTACGTCTGCGTGGCGAATACGGAATGGGTCCTTTTTTTATTTAAACACAAAATTTACTTTTTATTTTGTTGTTTTAAATAAATGTGGTTATAGTTTTTATTAATAAAATTATGTTTTATTATTAGTCAAAATCACAACTTCAATATTCTTTAAAAAAAATAAGACAGGACTAAGTATATTTTAGCTCACAGGTTATCTTTTAAGTACATAAGCCTCTTCAGCGTATATTAAGGCTTTACGTTACTCCCAAATAGATTAGGCTTCTAGGGTTAAGAAAGCTTTGTTTAAAGTGTGATATTAAATGCTTTTCACCATAAACGGCGCCAATTTTCAATCATTATTGCGTTTCAGATTAAGACTAATACCAGATATTGCGAAAGGTTGGACTATACCTTAGAGATGACGGTTTTCTCATGGCCCATTGCACGAAGCTTAGAGTAGAGTAATGTCTTTTAAGAACTTAAAAATTATCCTGGGTTATCAGGTGTTTAGCAATACAAGATTAATTGTTATCTTTCACGAAGTTCTTTAAATAAATTTTGAGCTAAGCACTCACCCGTATTTCGGTGGTTACTACTAGTTTTAATAAATTGTTAGTTTAATTTCCTATAAAATTTACCTTTACGTTTATGCATTCTAAGAATACATCAAAAGTTTGTTTTAGAGAATCAATGTGAAATAATTGCAGAAACGATTAACCGGGTTGCTGAGCAACCGAGACGTCTGCCTTTTAAATAATTTTTTTACCAGAAACATGAATGTGTAAAGATGAAAGTTTTGGTATTTTTTTTATATGTCGGCCGAAAATTTTAAAATCTTTCGACGCAAACATTTTGGAAGTAGTTGAATGATTCTTAAACGTTTGTGCAAAGTTTCAGATCGAGCGCTTTAGTTTGATGTATAATTTGTACCCGTACGATTTATAGATTGCTGGCTCCTTGTTTTAGAATAATATGTAGATTACCTGATTATAGTCTCCAACAAGTTCACACAACTAATATGTACCCTTTAAGAGTATTTTATGAAGAGAATTTCAATTGCAGATGTCGCTGTAATCTAAGCGGGAACAGTTACTCGAGATCCCTTTTCTCAAGACCTGTTACCCACCTCTTATGTGGGTTTCGCCTTCTGCGATCACCCAACTCTCGGCCACTTCGGAAGAGAACTTCTAGCAATGAAGTAAGATCCTCTTATAATTAATCAGGGCTATCACGAATTCCATCGCAGAAAATCTCCTTCCTCGCTTCATAAAAAGTATTCATTGATTAAATAGCGTCTAGCAGATGAATGTATGTATGTACATATGTACATATGTATGAATGTATGGTATTGGTATTTGACGTCTACGTTTACACAAATATGTGGAATTATATCTTACTGTAACAAATCTAGAGTACAATAAATATTTATTATTAACAATAATGCACCTTTTTTGCATTATTTTTAAAATTCAGTGATTTTAAATCTTCTTTCTTCATTATGAACGGATTCAATGAAGGCTCTTTACGAATTTCGAATTTACGTTCGTAGCCATTCGGATTCTGTGATAGCACTTTCGTAGATTTCACGAAAATCGAAGCTACGATGGATACTGTGATAGCCCTGAATACATTTTTATAACTTTGTTACAGCTTTTTCAAATAATAAATAAGTTGCCGTCAGGCACTTATACGTATAAATATACAGCATGGCGACGAATAAGTGTTACCCAGGTTTTTTTTGAGAAATAAAAGGGTCTTTAGATTTTGCGAAAAAAGTATTTTATTGTTAATTTTCCACAGATTTTACTTTAGTTGTATTATTTAATTTTTAAATTTTAATCCCTATTTACATTTGCCAGCAGTGTAAGCTTTGAAAGAAAAGTTCATTTGGCACGCAGGCCTTCGTCAATTAATTTATTCCATATCTTCTGTAACCATAGGCTAATTTTCTCCATTTTGAGTCGCTTATACTCCCCCTTCTGTCGACGCTAAGGCCTCATACTCAAAAATCGAATAGACTCGGAACTGGTGACTAGGACGGCCATTCATTCCAACAATCCTATACAGGTTTTTCTTTTTTCTCATTTTTGTCATTTGCATCGATAACTTAAAGTTGTGATACACGATGGCTAGAGTACATAACCATGGTATTGCTTCCCAATCAAGCCCGACTATCTCAATCTTCAGAGCCAATCCTTATCCCGAAGTTACGGATCTAATTTGCCGACTTCCCTTACCTACATTATTCTATCGACTAGAGACTCTTCACCTTGGAGACCAGCTGCGGATATTGGTACGGCCTGTTGAGAAGTTTGCGTGACCCCACCATAAATTTTCAAGGTCCGAGGAGAAAATATCGACACAACAGTAAATGTCATGCTCTTCTTCTAAAACATTGAAGTATTAAGTATTTTTTGCTTGAAAATAAAGCAAAATTTATAGTTGACACGAGAATGAAACAATCTAAATGAACTATTTGCATACAGATATCTATTTAGAGTAACATAAAAACTATATTACCACACACAGTTATTGACATACTTATGTACATGCATATGTATGCAGATGACAACTAATCTATAGGCAAAACACGAGTTTTTTTTTCAAAATCGTAGATCTTCGCTTAGAAAAGAGATAATGGAATGAAAATGAAGATAAATGATCATATAATATAGGAAAACTATAGAGAAGTTACAACAGCAATAACTTAACCCTCAAAATACCGTTCAAAATGTCACTTCTTTTAATTTTAGATTTTGGCTCCCATTCCACTAGAAAACACTATATTTAATACACCATTAGCACTGTTTCTGAAAGATTTCTGTTTATTTTATCTTAAGACTCGATTCTTGGGACATTGTGTGGCCGAGTGGCCAGATTGGAAAAAGAAAAGCTACCTTTAAACTCTGATGACTCGTAAACTATCAGCCTTCACAAAAAAAATTATACAACAAAAATGGTTATACTGGTCGATATCTTTACGAATGTGCAGCATTTAACCCTTTAATGCAGAGTCTGTCATATATGAAACGCTTCTTAACCCTTTCAAGGCAGAGGCAAAATGGTTCTCAATATGTTTTCAACGTACTTTTTATTTATTTTTATTTTTATTTTTAATATTTTTATTTTTTTATTTTATTTTTTTATTTTATTATTATTTTACTATGGAAAAATTTTCTACGATTAATATCTACGTCAACATGAGAAAAAGCACGCTCAAAAGCATATTGAGAACCTTTTTCCTCTGTCTTGAAAGGGTTAAAAAGCGTTTCATATATGACAGACTCTGCATTAAAGGGTTAAATGCTGCATTCCATTATCTCTTTTCTAAGCGAAGATCCACGATTTTGAAAAAAATTCGTGTTTTGCCTACAGTGCGTCGCCTGTGGGCATTCTTTCATATATGTATGTATGTGCCATTTCTACCGTTATATATTTTTTGTCTACTCGGTAATTCCATGGGGAATTCATGCTTTATTTAAATTTAAAAAATTAAATTACTACACCTATTTAATTAATTAGTGTGTAGTCCAGTTTTGTTTTGTGGAATTTTCGTTAGTATACACTTCAGTTTTTACACATTGAATATATCTGCATATTTATATATTTACGCGTATCTATTAACATTTATTTATGTACAAGTCTACAAAATCTTATTATTTATAAAGCGGTTTTTAATATTCGTTGCTTAACACACATTTTTTCAATTACTTCTTGTGTTGTAATCGGCACATCACTATGTACCGCTAACATCGTTAAACCATTCAGCCGCTCTTTAATTGTATAAAAAGAAGGGACAAATAAGATAGCATATTCAACAATTGAGTAGTCCACTTGCAAAGTGCGCTATGTAAATTTTTTTTAGATTTTTAGTTTTTGGTGGGTTTCATGTCCACTGTGAAAAATTTGTCTATATTCTGAAAAAAATAGCATGAAATGTTAACTACTCTTGCAAAAGTCGCTATAATACTTATTTATACACTTTCAAATGTTTCCTCTTCGTATGAACTTAGAAAACTGCAAGAAAACGTGGTAGTTTCGGTGCCTAGTGGAAGATGTCGCAAAAAAGAAGCAAACCAATCTTCCTAGAGGAGAGAACGCGAAAAGCTAAAAAAGCTAGCTATGTAAAAGTTACTGTTTCAAAACTTGCAATATTAAATTTTTAAATATAAAATTTGCAAATCTACCATACTGCAATTTTATTTTTTTTAATGGTATTAGGCTCTTATTTATCCAAATTTTTAGGTAATAAAAAAAGATACAGTTCGGATGTTACTTGTTGTCGTAGAGGTTTTTTTTTTTAATTTATGGTTTACTTTCATAAAATCACATAACGCTGATTGCAAGTGGACTACTCATATATTCATTAAAAGATAATTTGTCATCCGTCTGAAATAAAAAAAAATTTAAATCAGAAGGATAAAATAGTATTGTGTTATTAATTCAAAAGTAAATAATTGTAGTTCAATGACGAAGGGGGATCTATCCCCCCATATCCCCCACTGGCTACGCCACTCGACCCTTTTATTTCTCAAAAATCCCAGCCTAACAGTTATTCGTCGCCACGCTGTACACACTCATATGTATATGCTTAGTGAAAATGGGTGAAGTTTTTGTTTATCCCATTTGTGAACAAAGTGAGTTCAACCCTAGAAGAACTTTATGGATTCGGCACCTTCTCGGCCCGCGTTAGCCGTGGAGTTCATGAGGAATTTCCGGCCCCCATTTCACCCCGTCCCGAACATGGTCCTTTGAAAATACTTTACCTTTTTACATTTTGAAATTGCTCTATGTAAATTTTTAAAAATC